AAAACAGCTATACACTATCTTTTAATAATTTTATTTTGTTATAGTCTCTCTTCACTGTACTTGTTTCCTTCTGTTCTTTTCTATCTATCTATTTAATGTGTCTATCTTTAAGACTATGTTCTTTTTTCCTTTGTTATGATATTTTCAAATGGTTTCAAAGTATCAGAAGGTGTTGAAATACTGCAATTTGTAAACAGTTTTTGTATTCTGAGCTGGAATTTTCTGATTTTGCATATCTGAAATTGATAAATGTATAATAGTTGACTCTATAGATATAGGAAAAACCCTGAGAACTAAAGATTCTCAGGTAGATGTCATAGTCTCTGACTGCATACATCTATAATTGAAGAATAATAATAATAATAATAACTAATTCTATCTCTATAAGTGAGTCTGCTAACACTGACTAGAAGTATAAACCTGACTTGTAGATAGCTATGTACAGATTATATCTTTAAAGTTATACAAGTCTCAAGTACATGTTATCTATAATGTCTGCAATAATCACAGTTTCTGTAAATCTTCTTCAGATTTCAGAGAGATCTTGTAATTCAAAGATAATTCTTATAAGTCTCTCAGCTCTCAGATCTGAGTTCTCACATTCTGCTTATTATAAGAGTAGATTTTCAGTTTTTATCACTCAGCTTATTCACTCTGTAAGCTTTAGAAACACTACAGTGATCTGAAATTCTGAGTTCATTAATACTTTCTATACTTACAGAGTAGTAGTACTGTGATACAGTCTCTCTCTATAAGTAAGCATTTTTATCAGAGAAGTAACAGATTCAGATATCAGCTTTAAGACTCTTAAGAAGACTGTTACTGACTCTATTCATAACTTCTTAAATTTCTATTTTAATTTATTCAGACAGTTTATATAAAGATGTTCTGATTTAGAATAGATAAAGTAAAGACTCTTTTTCTTAATCTCTCTATTATATACTCTGTTTATAAGAGCTTGTAAAGCTCTCTCTTTCTACTTAGAAGTCAGATATAAATCTCTCTATATCTTATTATCTTTCTCTGATAAATCTGTTCTCTATTATTCTGACTCTTGTGAGACTGATTAATAATTCACTCTCTATAAGTCTGTGACTCTCACAGTAATCTGTAAATAATAAATGAGAGTTATCAGTTTCTTCAGAGTTAAGAACTTAGAGTCTTACTCAATGTGCTTATTCTATATATCTTTATTCAGTCTCTTTATAAATATTATTATTCAGGTTTTGTTTCAGAGCTTTGTTTCTACAGATCTTAATTTATATCATAATTTTATAAAGCACTGTGAGTAGTTTTTATCAGATTTCTCATCTCTTTTTCTAATATTAATAATTATAGCTTAGATATTCTCTGTCTGACTTGTAAAGTCTCTCAACTTATTCTTTAGATAGATCTTGAGAACAGATCAGCAGAATCTCTTATAATTATTTTCTAAATAATTCAGTCAGTTCTTGACTTCAGTGTAGTAGAGATCTGTTATTATATAGATAACAGCTTCTTTATCTTTCATATCACACAGCTGAGCTTGTAAGTCAATTTTAAATACAAACTTATAAAAGCTTTTATAGATTGTGATTTAATAGTTTATCTTAAGTAATTATAACTTAAGAAAGTTTCTTTTCAGTTTATAAGTGTCTTTGAAGATTATATCTAGAGACTTAGTTTAAGAGTGTTTACAGATAGTAAGTATTTCTTGTAGAAAAATAGCTTAATTCTGTAAGAAATGCTTAAGAATGTTCTTCACTGAGATTGATTTATTCATAAGTTCAGAGAGTTTCTCTGTCATAGATATAGAGAATAATATTCTGTAAGTAGTTAATAAGTTCTCTGAGACTTCTTTTACAGAGATTACTTATAATTCAGATAACTGCTTCTGAGTGTCTGCAGTAGAGTTTACAGAGATTGAAGTATATAAGTTTCTAGTTCTTTCAGTTATAACAGATGATTGCTGACTGACTGAGCTTGAAATGTAAGAATAAGTACTTACAGACAATTATTCAGATATTCACAGCTTGATATAATATATACTGTTAACTACTAGAAGTATTCATAGTAGAAAGAATAAATGTAGAGATTAAATATATAATAATATTCAAGCTGAGTTATGAATAGTATTCATGAACTTTAGTCTATATAGTTATATATAGTCAAGAACTGCTAATTCTATTAATTATATAACAGATAGAAATAGAGGTAAAGAATCTGTAAGAAGTGAGATTTCTTACAATATATCTATATAGAAACTTGAAATAAATCTTTCACTTCTCAGAATTGATATAATATATAAAAGAAAATTCTTGTTAAATTCTTAATAGAATATCAGTTTTATTAATAACTTTTATATCAGTTAATATATTAATACATCAGACTTTATAATTAGAGTTATTAAATATAGTCACTGATTTAATATCTAGTACATATTTAACTTTCTTCTAATATTTTTACAACTTATCTCTCATAGTGTCTCTTTATATAAGAACAGATATAGTGAGATGTTATGTAATATTAGCTATAGCTATTTAATTTTAAAGTATTATCTGTATAAGATTCATAAGATTATCTGCAGTGTAATAGATAGATTGATTCAGATTATCATTAAAAGTCAGTATTTTAAAAATAAGAAATAGTAAAGAATTTAATAAGTTGAAATGAACAGATTCTGTAGATGAATATTAACTCTACTTTCTCTTATTTTAAAGCTTCTCTATTGTTTCATTATTAAATTTCATACTCTGATAAAAACTGACATCAGTCTTATCTTATAACTTAGAAACTTTCTTATAATAAGTAATTATTCTATTAATAAGTTATTTAGTAAAGTAAGTAAATCTAGATCTTAAGCTGAACTCTGAAGTAATAGATGTATTACTTATATTAAGATAACTCTGTTTCTTTTAAATATGTAAAAAAAAAAGATATTCTTTACAATAGAGAATATACTTTTTTAAAAGTGTATAAATCTGCTAACTGATAAATTCAGAGAAAATGAAATATCTCTAATAAAAAGTAAGAGTCTTCTTAAAAAAGATAAACTACTCTCATTAAAAATATTAATACAATGTTCTAAAAAGAAAAATGTGTTATTCAGACTATTATCTGTAGAATAGTTGAAGATTGTATTGATAGATCTATCTACAAGAACATAATATATTGGTGGGTCACGTGATCTAGTGGGATCGCTAACCGCAACGGCCGTAACGGCCAACAGTTGTATCATACTTGCTTAGTCAGAAAAAAAGGTCGAGGAGTCGATAAACGCGGAGATCAAGTTGGCACGCCAGTTGTTGGCTTCTCTCCGACAATGTCACCCACTCCCACTCTATGGCCGACCGGAAATGATCCCCTTCAATTCGTGTATTTTACACTTTACATGGAGATGTCACTCCCCATCCCTTGTTTTGTTAGGAAGATTAGTAAAATTGGTACCCTCAAAGCATCTCTCACAAGAGAAATGCGCATTCACTATTTTAAAAACATTTCACACCTCACGCCCTCGACGCAAGATGGACAAAAGCCCTGCAGCTTCTGAGACTGCCCCTAAGTACAAATACATTGAGGATTGTGAATGGCTAGAGAGGTACTGTCCAGGCGGCTTTTACCCGTTAAAGCTTGGTGATCAACTCTGTGATGGACGTTACTCTATTGTTCAGAACCTCGGATTTGGCGGCAGCTCTACAGTATGGCTGGCTTCTGACCAGAAGCAACAGGAGTTAGTTGCTATCAAAATAAAATCCGCTGATTCTGCCTCGAAATCTCAGGAAGTAGATATTCTAAAACATCTTCATCCACACCCATTGATCAGACAGCTGCTGGACAATTTCATTGAAATTAGTCCCAATGGAACTCACAATTGCCTGGTCATGGAAACGGCTAGTTGTAGCTTGACACAATCAAAGTCCTTGGCCTTTCACGGACTACTGGATCTTCGTATCGCGCGAGCTATTGCTGCAGACCTGGTGTTAGCTGTCCAGTTTTTACACGGACAAAGCATTATCCACGGTGGTGAGTAGATAATCATTCCTAGATATACACAGTGTCTAACCAATCCTACAGATATACATTGCGGTAATATCTTTCTTCGACTTCCCGCCGACATTCGCCGAATGATAGATCCTTCACAACTGTATCAGAAATTCGGCAATCCAATTCTTGAGCCTATTGTCCGAGTTGATGGCAAACCTCTCCCGGCAGGAGTTCCTACTCACGTCGTTGGGCCTGCAAGAGTTGGAATTCAGTCTGACCAAATCACCCCTACCTATTTGCCCATCATGCTCTCCGACTTTGGTTCGAGTTACTACCCTAGTAAAACAAGACGGACTAATGCATATACACTGCCCCACCTTGTTCCACCCGAAATTTTCTTTCTTGACAAACAAAACGATGAATATAACCTTTCATTCCCCAGTGAAATTTGGACCCTTGGATGTACCATATTTGAAATCATTGGTAGTGGGGGCCCCTTTAGTACCTTAGGTGGAGGCATACTTCAGGACCAAGTCAGTGTTTTGGGAAAGCTCCCTGATCCATGGTGGTCACAATGGGAGTCCAGAGCCGATTTTTTTAATGAGGATGCAACTATTGATATCACAACTGGTGCTCCTTTTCAAGATAGCCTGGAAGAACGGTACGATTGGTTCGTTAATACAGCTCGGCGGCGATCAGACATGGAAGAGCAGGGGGAGGATGAGAAGAAGGCTTTCCTACATATGATTTGGATGATGCTTCAATATTTACCAAGTGACAGGGCTACTATTCGGGATGTTGTTGAGTCTGAGTGGATGCAAAGATGGGCGTTTCCTGCAAAGCAGGAAATTAAGTAAAAAATCAGAAATAACAATGTTCAAATCACTACCAAATTGTGGGTAGAACTAGCGAGGGCAGTTTAGAGAGTCACCCAAAAGATATGTTCTGATGGCTACGTTATTCACTAAGATAGTTACAATGCTGGTCATTGAGTTGCGTTAAATCAATATGTTAATCAATAACTACATGTTCCCGATTCACTCAAGATTAAGCAAATTCCTGATCTTGTTGCTCTTCTTCAGAATCCGGTGGGCCTCTTTAGCATCAACTCCCATGTTCTCCTGAACCAACATCTTCAGCAGTTCAGGAACCAAGACCTTCTGAGCATACATCACAGTCCCATACTTTGATGCCACGCTATCAATGCCAGCCAGTGAGTCGATGGCGTCTTTAAAGTGAGACACGACATGCGCTGAGCTGAGGGGAAGGTCAGTGAAGAGGTTCCTCGGTGGGGTTCACAGGGTCGGGATTGGGGGTGGTGGATGAAGAGGTGGAGGGGGGTTTCTTCACTCACAGGATCTCATGGCCTCTAAGGCCATAGTAGCCAGTGCTGTGCAGGACACTCTGAGAGAGAATCTTTCTGCCATGCCTCTGCACTTTCTCGAGCACAACACTCTTATAGCAGAAGTGGTACCCAGAATCATTAAGAATCTGATGCAGGTGAGGATGAAATTGAGTCAACCGATCATCAAGGTGGTCCCATGCAATGATGGAATAGTGAAGTCAGGACCACTCACACCGTGCAGTTTCCTTTCAGTGGTTCTCACAGAACCGCAACTGCTCGCGGACCCGCATGCGATTGTTAGCAGCCTTGAACACACTGGAAGCCTCCACCTCAATGACAGAATTGCACACTGAGCACATGGCAGTCACTGTTGAGGACGGAGATGGTGTGCGGTGCTTCGCATTCGGCATGGCCCGGTCATCCGCTGGTTGGGGTTGTCCACCGGGATAGCGATGTGAAGTTTCGACGGGCGTGGGCGGCTTTGATATCAGAAGGGGTTCACCGGCTGATGCACGACCTAGTAGGTTCGCAAGAAGAGCAGGGCATCAGTACTCATTGCAGCACACCTTCTAAGCACTATTTTTCAGGCTCACGTCACACATAGCTGAGGGGTTACAAACGAGGATCGGGTGGCCGCGCTTACAGTTCCACTCTTGCCTCTGCTTGTTGGTGGGGGGGTTGCTTGCGTGTGTATTCTGAAGTTTTGCGTACCATCGCTGCCGCAAAGAGCCGAGTTGTCTGTGTGGAAACCGCTTCTCAATCTCCGTCCAGGAGAAGCTATTCTGCTTCAGGGTCATTAGACAGTTGTCCTCCTCTCAAGTTCAGTGGCGTCTTCTCCCGCCCAGATCCTCAATCTTCCATTCATTGTAATCTCTTTCAGCGTTGGCCGCAGCTGTCGTCTCGCCCGCGAGATCTGAGGCGGTCATTGAACAGCGCATGACCATCTTGAAAATGACATGAGCAACTCTAGATGACAGCATCACAGCTTCCCCTCAGGTCAACAACAGCAGAGGGCAACTGCACGTCTTGTCATCAATAGAAGGTCAGGGGTGGGTGTAAGTGTCTAGTTCATGATTTGTGTTCCCGGGGGTCGGGTAATGGTTCTTCACAGTTGTTGTTCACACTCTGCAGTTCTCCTGTTCAACATCTTCACAACCTGCAGTGGCTGCTGCCCTTGGGATCTGAAACTGGGGACGGCGCGATGCAGGGCCGGATGGCGGTGTGGAAAGCCTGCAATGCTTTGAAGGTGGTTTCATTGAGCCATTCTCTTCGCTGCTTGCACAGTAGTTGTCATCTGTATTGTCGGAGTGTGCGCTCGAGCTACCCATGTCAGACATGGTTGTGTTGTCTTCGACACACTGCACGGGCTTCCCGGGAAGCTTACAGTCCTGGGTATCAGGGACCTCACGCCTCGATCGTGCACGAGTCTTCTGTTGGCGGGTCCGGAGTCGGCTGCTTAGCCCATTCTCGTACCGCATCGAGCCTGACATGGCTTCTTCGAGGCGATCCGCGATGACCGGCACTTCGACGGCGACCATGGGGTGCATGTCACCGGTACCAGCCCGGGGCCGGCGTTGTCTCTTGAGTTGAATAGAATGCACACCGGCGATGCCAGTGCCGGCTTCGTTGCTTCCACCATCCGCCTTGGGAGAGTGAGATATGGATGTTGCACAGCTGGAAGTGTCTCATTTGGCAGGAGACATGAAGGTGCTGTCAACAGCGGACCTGTCCATAGCACTGTCATCAGGGTCTACTGTGATCAGCGGATTGAAGAGCAGAGGGTCATCAGAACTGCTTCAGGACCATTCTTGTCTATGTAATGTATTCTGATCTGACCCCGGCTCCAAAAAGCCAGCGTGTGGAGTCGAATCCAGTACAGGCGTTGAACTGCTGTCGCCAGGAAGAGCCTTTGTGCCGGCTGATCTTACCAGGCCGCATTCTACAGCAGGCGAAGGAACCGGTAAGGATTCGTCGTCCTTCTCCCAGCCTCTGTCCTCATCTCCGTCAGAAAAACCTAGGAGACACTCTGGTGTTAGAAACCGGTCTAACCAGATAGAACAAAAAGAAAGGGAAGAGAGAGAGAGAGAGAAAGAGAGAGAGAGAGAGCGAACCGGCTACTCACCGTGAGAACCGTGCCTCTCATTCTGCAAATACTGGCTCGAGTGTTCGACAGCTGCATCACTGGGGATGAGGACATGAAGAGAATCAAGTCCCGTGAAGAATTCATTAAAATCATTCAAGCAAGTATTCTCTGCCCGAGACTGGACCTCATGGTGATCTTTGAAAGAGGGGAAAGATGGAACTTGTGAAGAATGACTGAAGAGAGAAGAATGAGAGGGTAAAGAGTGAGAGAGTGTTTGAGAGCTGATGAAAGATGCAGGGACCGTCTGGAGAGATTGAGATGCAGAGAGTATAGAGTAAGGAGGTTGATGACTTGCAGGCATGGGACTTGAAGAGGGGGGATTCATGGAGTTAGAGGACTGAGGAGTTTTTGAGGCCCTGAGAGGGGGATTGAAAGGGGTATATATGTTCCAGCTGCTGGACATGTTTGCAGAAGAGATGGTGATCTCATGTAGTCTGTCAGAACAGCAGTGGTGAATCCACAGGGAAAAGCAGATCATTTTATCTACAGTTATCACTGCTCTGATGATAGCTCCATTCTCTCTGTTCCTCTAAATAAGCTTATCAGCCAGAAAAATCTACACTCACTCAAAAGGAGAGCCGATGAGCATCAGGCTCTTCAAATCAAACATCATCAGCCACCGCACACATAACAGCAGAATGTAACCCAAGCAGGTGTGAGTAGCAGCCAGCCACATCCATCGCCTGTCGGGTGGACGCAGAAGCGGCGCCACAGCCTCCTGCCGTCCCGGTTCAATTTCTCTCGAACAATCCAGGCATGGAAGATGCGAGTACCATGAACAAATTGAATGTGAATCCTGTGAGGAGTGTGGGAATGAGCGGCACACGGCGGCTGCGCACACATGAAGCTATAGCCTCGCTTACGCGGCCTCCTCGCACCTTCGGCCCTGCGCCTTCGTCCTCTTATCACACCATCCTTGCATCGCTACATGGCGTACGCGGCGTGGACATGCTCCGGAACGCCCGATGCGACTTCAGCTCGCTCGCGTACATATCGCAGGGATTTCCTGTCGGGGTTGATAGGTCAAACCCCAAAGATCGCCACACTGAGCTGAAACTGGGGTCCTTCGAACCACGGGCAGAAGGAAGGCTGGAAATGCAGCCCTTCCAGTTATTTCTTTGTCCGACACGTAGGCACCAGCAAATGACAAGTCGAAGAACGAGTCCAAGAGTCGGGGAAAGAATGGCGCCGGTTCAGCGACGCCGCAATTGGGATCGACCACCCATTCATTCCCACGGGGTTTTACTGAAATGAGGAATTTTTGCCATTGGCCGCTGAGCAGGAGGGACGTCAGCAGCAGCAGGAGAGAGGGGTTACAGAGGGAAACGGGGAACTGTGAGTCAGGTCAACCGGTTGCTGATACGGGAAGGAATTTCCTTTTTTTTTTCCCGGGGGGGGGGGGGGGGGGGAAGGGAGGGGAACGCATGTATCACTTCAACGCGAGACGGGAGAGAGTGAAAGAACAGTAGCAGGAGCGGAGGAAAAAGCAAGGCAAGGACACATATAACATAGGCGGGTTCGATGGTGAAGCCAATGCCGCAGGGGCCTTCGTCGAACGGCGGCGACCAAAATCAGAGCGATTGGACAGGTGGGCGGTGGCGCAGAGGCAGTGAGTCAGGGATACCACACCGAAGTCGAGGACGGGGAGGAGGACGAGACGGCAGGGGCAGAGAAGAGAAGGAAAGGAAATGGATGAAAGAGAGGAAGGGAAATAAGGATGCAGAAGTGCGTGTGCGAGGGAGGAAGTCAGGGCAGCTTTATATAGCACGTCGGAGAGTCGAAGGGGGCCGCCGGGTCGGCACCATGCCCGAACGGGGCAGCGCCAGGCCGCATCGGTCCGCGCTAGACCACACGCGGACGGCGCTTGACCGGATCGGGCGGGCAGCGCCGTTTCCGGCCGCGGGCTCGCCGTCGCAACCTTTACTATTTCAGTTTTATAAGATAATGAAAACAGTTTTAATTACTTATATATTAATACTGCAGTCAGTCTGATAAGTGTATAACAGTTTATTTACTTATTTTAAAAAGTAGTGAAATCACTTAAAAAGAAATTCAGTCTGAGATAATACTATAGTATAGACTATTATTACTATAAAAAATAAACTGATATATTATTACAGTAAAACTGAACAATCTTTTACAGAGTACTATTATTATTATTATTCTTCAATTATAGATGTATGCAGTCAGAGACTATGACATCTACCTGAGAACTTTTAGTTCTCAGGGTTTTTCCTATATCTGTAAAGTTAACTATTATACATTCATCAATTTCAGATATGCAAAATCAGAAAATTTCAGCTCAGAATACAAAAACTGTTTATAAATTACAGTGTCTTAACATCTTCTGATACTTTGAAATCATTTGACAATATCATGACAAAGAAAAAGAGAACACAGTCTTAAAGATAGACACATTAAATAGATAGATAGAAAGAAATTAAAAGAAAAAGATAAATGTAGCGGGCTGCGCCTGATCAATTATATAGACTATTCTGTTACACTTCACAGATTCCAACTGCTCCATTCTTGAATGCGTACACTCCGATTCTCAGCCATTCTCAATCACTGATTCTCAGCTGCAACGCGTATGCTCCGATTCTCGGCCATTCTTGATCACTAATTCTCAGCTACTATGAATATGTATAGATTCTTCTGCTCTGAAGCTTCACTGCATACATCATCACATACATGTATAAATATTCACTTCAATCACTGATTCTCACACTTTCTCTTTCTTTTTCTTTTCTAATGTTTTTCTCTTTATTATATAAGACCTATCAATATCATATCAATCTATTCAGTATAGATCTCTTATACTAGAAAAACATTCATTATCTTCTTATTAGAAATGATTATTCAAGTATCATCTTCTCATTAGAAATGATCACTCACTGAGATATCTGAATGCATAACAATGTGTAAGAAATAGAGAAACAGTTAAACAGTTAAGTAAATATCAAGTTCTTAGATAGAAGCTTACTTATCAGTCACTCTGACTCTGTAATAAGATTTTATAAAGAGAATATCAGTGAAAGATCTGAGAGTTCTGACACTCAGATATATAAGATATTCATATAATTACACTTCTTTAAGATTTCACAGATATTATACACTCAATGAATAATATGTCTAATGACAATATGAGAGAACTCTCAAATATGAGTATAGAAGTAATATCAGAGTGACTCTGAGTAATATTGAAATTACAATAGTAATAAATAGCTGATATGCATGCAACTCAACAACATCAATATAAAGAGATTCAATAATTATTATAATAAGAAACTCAGACAATTTCAACATCTACAGAATTAAATATAAAAGTACTGAAAGAATACTTAGATGCTTCTGTATATTTCAATACTTCTGATCTCACTCTCTACTCATCATGGAGAATGAAAATGCTTGCAAAACTGAGTGTGAATAGAGATATTATCAGTTCACTAATCAATCAAGATTGATACATCAATAAATGATTGAAGAATCACATGAAACAGAAGTTTCATTTATAAATAAAGACATGTGAATCAGCATTGTGAATATCTGATAATATTATCAAATATCTCAATGTTCTGTTTCAAGACACTACTAGGCAACAGAAAGTATTAGATTGATTACAGAGTACTTAACAGAGAAACACTTCTCTTACAATATTTATTCCTGACTTCAACATCAAGATTCTAGAAGCAGGTGATCAATCTTAAGAGAATTAAATGAAGATTATCATGCTTAAGAAGACATTAACTTTCAAACTCTTACAGACTCTTATAAGCATAGACAAAGATCAGACTTATGAAGACTTCTGCACACAGCTTCAGACATTGAATGATCATCTTACCAAGCTCAAGAGTATACAGAACAGTGATAGAAGATATTACACAGTCACTCATACACTCACACTGAAGAATAACAATGATGCAGATGCTATGAATTAAGTAGACTCAAATATCTACATATAAGCAAGAGTCTTCACTATTTAAACAGACTTTCAAGTTTCTGAGATCACTCTCAAAGAAGTCACTGACTGACATTAATAAGAGATATGCATCAACTATAACTGATCAGAACATATCACTTTCAACTACTGATCAACCTATATGACTTCACACTCAAGAGAAGAACTGACATCTTCTCACTCAAGAGAAAGATCAGTGTCTTCTCATTCAAAGAATGAATCAGTGCCTGTCTGTGCTAATTACATTGCAGTGAAGAAAGATTTGAAAGATAACTATAAGAATGCTCTGATGAAACAGAGAAAAGATTAGCTTTCATTCAAATTTACAAACAGAAGCTTGAAGAGGTCAGATGACAATGATTTGAAGAGAAAATGACAATGAACATGATTCTTATATCTACTGTGATTGATAATATGTATAATATGAAAGTCATGATAGACAGCAGTCTATGCTATTACACAATGATTAAATCTTCAATTATAAGATATTATAACCTTCAGTGTATTCTCTTATCAAGACTCTGACTTCTCACAGAATTTGATGATTCAAAAGATATTCACACTCATTACATAGTGAAACTAAACATAGATATTGAAGAATATCAATGTGAAGATGCCTATGTATACAAAGTTGAGAATCTTGACTATAATCTTATGTTAGAACTTGCCTGACTATCTGAGCAAGGCATCTTATTGAATGCTTAAAACAGGAGCTTAATATTTCTGAATAAAGATAGAATTCATGAAGATGATATTTATAAGACTATGAATCTTACACAGATCTCTGTCAATACTTATAAAATGCTCTGAAAAAGAAGTTACTATCAAAACTGCTGACAGAGTCATTAACAAAGTCACTGACAGCAGAATTATATATGAATCTATTTCATCAGTCTAATCAATATCAAGAAAGCTCTAGAAAAGTTATCTCATACTACAATAACAGATTCTCATATAAAACTCTCTCAACAATATTATGAATATCTAGATATCTTCTGATAATATAACATTATGAATATATCTTCTCTACAAGACTCAGAAGTGAATCACAGTATTAAGTTAGATAAGAAGAATGATAAGAATCTCAAGCCACTGTGAGACTCTCTTTATAATATATCTCAAGATGAACTTCTTCTTCTTCAGAAGACACTCAATGATCTGTTGAATAAGAGATTTATATATATTAGTAACTCTTTCACTGCAGCTTCTATTCTCTTTATAAAGAAGCTAGATGAAGAACTCTGATTCTGTGTAAACTACTGAGATCTGAACAGATTGATAAAGAAAGATCATTATCTCTTATCTCTTATCAATGAAACTCTAGCATGTATCAGATGAGCTTAATAATTTATGAAGCTAGATGTCATCACTGTGTTTCATAAGATTTATATCACTGAAGAAGATGACTGACTTACAGCATTTCAAACATATTATAATTTCTTTGAATGAGTAGTCACACTCTTTGAACTGATTAATATCTTCAGTACATTTCAGAAGTATATTAACTGAGCACTTCAAGATTTTCTTGATAAGTTTGTATCTGCTTATCTAGATGATATTCTTATCTTCATCAATGAATTCAGAAAAGAGTATCAAGAGCATATATAAAGAGTATTACAACAACTACAAGAAGCAGAACTATCAATTAATATTAACAAGTGTGATTTCAAAGTTAAGAGTACTAAATGCTTAGATTTCATCATAGAAGCTGACAAGAGAATTCAAATGAATTCTGAGAAGATCTCTATCATTCTTGAATGAAAAGCTTCATATACTGTGAAAGATGTATAAAGCTTCATTGAATTCACTAACTTCTGTCAGTGATTTATATGAAACTTCTCAGATATTACAAGATCACTTACAGAACTCACTAAGAAAGACTCAGTATTTCAATGATCAGCAGACACTGAAGCTACATTTATATAGATAAAGAAGATGTTCATTAATACTTCTCTGCTGATAATATTCAATTCTGATTGTGAGATAGTTGTTAAAGCTGATTTCTCTGACTATGTCACAGAAGAAGCTATATTACAATATGATGATAAAGATGGCTTACAATTAGACTGACTGTGTGACCGTGTCTGAGACCAGGACCAAACTTTACAGTTGTCATATTGCCTAAAAGCATTACTCCTGGTCATGATTTGTGTTCATCACATTGATTTCAAATCATGTTATTTCAAATATTAAAGGTTTCAGATTCACTTTTCAAATAAAAATCTAGTCTCAGATAAAGAATATGTTTGAATTCTTAGTCACATTTTCATTCTGATCTCATTATTGAGAATGGCATCAAATGAGACTATGAAATCACTTCTCACTTACATAATATCATAACATAGTGCTTATTTATTGAAAATTCAACAGAGAGTGTTATCAAATATTGTTACTTTTCTGAACACAGATCATAATTCATATAATTTTAATTATGAAAAAAACATAAAATACAAAAAAAAACAAAAAACAAAAAACAAAATAAACACAAGAAAAAATCACATTAAAAAAAAAAAAAAAGAAAAGAAAAAGAAAAAAACAAAAAATAAAAATAAAAAAAATCAAGATCACAGAGCTGCAGTATCTTTAAAATACTCACTTCTCAGAGTCTTTGTAATGTTCATTATCAATTATGTATTTCTCACAGTGAGAGTAACATGGCTACAATGAGTCATTGTCTTAACATCATCTAATAAATAATCAGTATATATCTGTATAAATGTGAATAATTAGAAAACATACACTTAAAAAGTGTGGCCAGGGTGGACTCTGCTGTCACTTGAATAACATCAAGGGCAGAATGCTGAAATTGATGATTTCTCTCATTGATTTTACAGACAAGGCATGTGAAGATGATCTTGAGAAATATAAGATTCTCTGACTTCTGATAAAAATGAATCTCACAGAGAGACTCTATTTTCATGATATCAGAGACTGAGTGTTATCAAAAAGTGTTACTTTCATGCAATACACATGCACTTACTGTGATGATTCATTCTCTGTACACATGACTGAGAGTTGTGGCTTTCTCACACTGCATGGCTCTTCCTGAAATACTGCTGTTAGTTTGCAACTCATGCAGCCTCTCAGTTCAGCATGCACTGTGTGTATACAGCTCTGTGTGCTGAGGCTGTGTTGATCATTATAATCTGATATGATACTTGCTTTTCACAAGCCATGTTTTGTTTGAGAAGAAGGAAGAAAGACATGACTGTTGTTTTATTGAGAAGAGAATGAATAATTAGTATTATTGAATTAATTTGATTCATCTGTATTTAAAATTTGATTAATTTATACTCTTCAATTTGAGGATTTCTATGAGTGTTTTAATAGTTTTCATACCAGCTTGAACTTAGTGATGAATTGAAGAAGAAGAGAAAAGAGAGAAGAAAGAAATAAGAATAACTTATCTTTATAATATGAAAACAGAGAATCACTGCAATCATTCTCTCTAGCAACAAAGATCTGTTTTCTGCATGTATTTCTGATATAGATTATATGATAAATGCATACAAAGAATATCAATAGTGTATGTATTAAATGAAGATAATGTTGCTATGCAACACTGTAACTGTTTCTGTACATCTCTGAAAGCTGTTAATAGTTTCTTTATCTCTTTATATTTGATAAGTCAATAATATATTTCAATGCACTCTCTCTTTCATCATTATCATCATCATCATTATCATCATTACTATCATTATTATCATCATCATCATTATTATCATCATTATTATTACTATTATATCATTGCCTGCCTTCACTCTCTTCTCAACACTTATCAAAATCAATCATGTCATCTCTCTTCAAATATTCTGTGGTTCTGTGAACTATCAAGGCGCGTGAGCGCTGTTACAGATTGAAGAAAGAGGAGAAGAAGATGTTCAAGCATGAGAAGACAGATTGTAAGACACATTATAATGCCTTGAAGAGACTCTGTAAGAAAGTAGAATAATAATGATTTTAAGTAACACTTCTGATAGATTTAGACTGAACTAAGTATAGAAATAATATGAATGATGCTGTCTGTGAGAGATTGAAAAAGAAGACAGTGAAGAGTCTTATACAGCAGCAGTGAGATCAGAAGAAGTTCTGAGAATGATTTAAGATCAAGATAAAGAGAGAGAGAGAGAAGAAGAGTGTTACTGTAAATAAGTGATAACAGAAGAAGATTGAGAAGATATTAAAGTGAGAGACAAAGAAGCTAAAACTGGTAAGTTTTTTATTGAGAGATAATGATTTTTGATAACACTTCTGTTCTCTAATTGATTAGCAGGAGCTGACAGAGAAGAAGGGGATTGAGGCCATGTTCAGGTCTCAAATGCACTTCATGATTCAGAATATTGAGAAGACAGCCCTGCTCTCTGAGCATGTCAATCTGCTTGCTGCTGAGATGGAACCTGAGACAGCAGATCAGAAAATGTGGGATTTTGAGATACAGATTGACCTGGCTGAGAGAGAGCAGTGAGAACCCTTCTCTGAGAAGGCAGTGAAGAGAGATTTTGAGGTGATTATCACCTCAGATGAGAAGGAGAAGAAGAAGAAGAAGAAGAAGAAGAAGAAGAATGAGAAGTAAATTATAAAGAATAATAAGAAGAATGAGAAAGAAAAGAAGTAGATTTTTTTCTTTTTATATTAGTTAGTTATAAGTTTAAGTTTTTAATTATTAATAATTAAAATTGATTTTGAGTTTTCAAAAATTATTGTACAAGTTGTAATCAAGTCAGGAATGATATATATATATATATATATTTAACTATCATGATTCATAAATCACTATAATGTATAAGTATCAACATTTTTTCAACATTGATATTCACAATATTAATATATTTTTAATGATATTATCTGATAATATAATTTGATAATGCTCTCTTTCACAATATTAATATATTTCAAGAAATATGACAGAGATTAATTAAGATTGTTTATTTACTTTTATACATCAATAATATTCAATCTGAGTTAGTACTAAAATTATAACTAAGCTAAGAAATAAGATTATTTTCTCTTATATTAATTCTTCTTACACACATTAGTAATCAGTTATTGAAAATAAATTGTTATCTTTCTTAAATTATTATCATATCTTCTGAATTCACTTCTTTCACTTCTTTTACTTCTATTGAAGATTTACAAACTCTTCAAGAAATCACTGTGAATCACAAAGTCTACATTATTTACAATTTAACACAGAATACTCTCTTTCAATTATGATAAATAATTACTTCATTCTTCACATCTGATTTCAGGTCACAAAATTTATGAAAAACTCAACATAAATATTGAGATGAACTATGAAATAATTATCAATAGATTGTATTACAGATTACTGGAGAGTCATCTCTTTGCTGTAATCACTGTAACTTCATTCAGAAACATTTATTATAAACTGATTATAACTCTGAAGGAATTTTCTGACATCTAAAGTCATCAGAATGCAGACAATAAAAGAAAAATAATCAGAAAATTACTACTGAGCTGATAAGTTACTCTATCAGATAATGATTTTTGATAATACTAACTTTCTAATTTGAAGAAAATTATGTGAAAATGACTCTGTATCAGTACTCTGATTTCAC